TTTTCTTTTACATTAAATATACTCTTTCCCCCACACAGCTCTGTTACATAATAGATTGAATACATGTGCAAAGTCATGCCTTTTTAGTATAAAATGCAGAATCATAACTTTCATTTTTGGAGTTAAGGTTATGCATGATATTACTAATTTTAGACACAGCAAATAATACACTGCCAGAATTGCTTTGTGGGCAGAATAAATGTGTAGCTTGGTCTTAACTTAGTTTGTTGTTAAATAGAGCTTTAAACAAACCCCCACCTCCTCTCCCTACTCATACCACACACACACCATCAGGACTCTATGATAGTTTATTTATAATCTCCATCACCCCGTCTTTAAATGTTAGACTCCAAATGATTTTATACAGCTACGTTTTCTGGATTTTTCTGATTTGATGACCTTGGCTAAATTGTGAGCCTGCCTGCCTTTAACCCGTTCTGTTTACAGTGTTTCACTTCAGACTATCAGCCATCACCTGATTAGGTGGCCTTCTGTCATCCATTCCTCACACACACACACTCCTCCTGGCCTGGGCACAGTGGCCTGGCTGTCCTCAGGAATGTCATCATGGAAGCAGCTGTCCTGATGTGAAGAAGAGCTTGGTTCATCTTTAAACATTTTCCAAGAGTTGGACCCAATAACACAAATAGGCCAAAGGTTCAGTCACATTTAAAGTGTGACGTGATGGCATCCCGAAAAATAGTTCACTTATCAAGTAGTTCTGTTTCTCTGAAAGAATAGAGATCTTGAAAATGTTCAGAGTGTTTTGATTCCCTGATTCACCGTCTTGTTTAGCCAGTAAACATACTAATTGTGAAGTTCCAAAAAGATTGCCCAGCACGATGAAGTAGCCACAATAAATATTAGCACTTGCTCATGTACAAGGCAAGATGGGGTAGATACAGTATTACATGGTATTCCAGTATTAAGACATGGGGGTACAGTGTCTTTGCCCCTTTAAAGGGGGAAATTTGGTGAATTCTAAGCTGAATTACAAGCTAGAAAATAAAAGGAAAAAATAACACATTGCAAGTCCAGGGAGATGAAAATTGAGAGAATGCCTAGATTATTGTTAGGGGAAAGATAAAGTAAAGCTTCAGGGGGTAGGTGGCTCTTGAAATAAAAGATGGAGAAATTCTTCATTGTGCATACCAGTTATGGTTTGGACATTTAAATGACATGAAAAAAGTTGAACCAGTGATGTCAATATAGGATTTGTTTGGGAAATTGCTAATAGTCAAAGTTGGCAAAACTAGCTGTGTCAATTGTAGTAGCTTCACCACATTAAAAGAAAGGTAGGAGATAATTTTGGCAAGACAAGTTAGGCTATTTACTAAGGACCTTGGACATCAATTTGTATGAAAGCATGTATAGTGGAAGGAGATGATACGCACACATCAGGAATTCTAGACTTCTTTAAGGGACTTGCTAAGAGTTGATGGAGTACTCATATGCTGGAGATACATTATCCTTTGTTCAAGTCTAAAGATTCTACGTATCCCTTGTTAACACTGAACAAGATATTTTTCTTTTTAGCCCAATTTGCTTTTTTGTAAAATAAGAGGTTTAGAATAGTCATGTCTCTTAAGTAATAAAATTATTGGTTTATAAGTCTGGTTATTGGAAAATGGTGACTTTATTTATTTATTTTAAGATTTATTTATTTATGCTTACATACTGAGGTACAGGCCAGGGGTGCAGGGGTGGTGAGAGGATTCACAGAAAGAGCAGGGAGGAGCAGAACAGGCAGATCAACAAAGTACACTACTGAGGGGAGCAGCGGGCAGGTCAGAAGAAGTCTGCTGTGCCATGTGGGTCAGCTCCCTGGCCAGGGATCGAACTCATGCTGCAGTAGCTTCGGAGAGTTTCATAATGTGGTGCTCTAACCCATTGTGCCACCAGGGAGAGCCCGGAAGATGGTGACTTTAATAGAAACAGGTTTTCATAATTCAGAAAATTTAATATCTTGTAAGTGAAATGATCAAATGAAATAAACAGTGTATTATTGGTTTCCAGTCCATTACTAAACTCACACAACTCTAAGGAAACTGATCTAGTAAGAGGATATCAGACAGTTTGAAAGAGTAAAATGCTACATGCAAGAAAAACATTTGTGTTTGGGCCTACAATGAAATGGGGATTTTGAAGGTTAGGAGCCTATCTTTAAAAAAAGAGGGAAAATCATGTGAGAGTTATTGCAGTGGTTCAATCAGAAGGATTTGCCCACTGTTTGAATAACAGTACTTCAGTTAACAAGCCCAGGAAGTATTATTTTTTTCTTACTGTTCTTTTATATTGTTATTTAAGTGAACTGATAACAGTGGTGACTTTAAGTCAATAGAGGTTACAATTTCAAAATATGTAGTTTACTGTGGTATAGCTTGGTACCTGTTAATGATCCAGCAGATAAGTCTTATGAAGCTAGCGTGGGATAGTGTTACAGGCAGGAAGAGAGGCACTCCTGAACCCTTAAGCCTGCCTGCTTTAAATAGGTTCTGTCATCTGCTGCATCAACACAAAACATGTAAGACCTTTAATGGAAAGGAACTTTAATACGATTAGTGTGCAATACAGAAAGACAAAGAATATAGATTCTTAATCAAACACCCAAAACTACCCATCCCTTCATGGGTAAAAGTCTACCCAAAAGGGACTGGCCCAAAGCAAGGTCTGCAAGCCCACCACAAGTCTAAAGCACCTTCTGGTAGGGACCCATGGAAAAAGGTCAGAAATGGCCAGACAAGTTTGGGAAGAAAAGAGCAAAATCAAAATCAAGATAAATGATGCCATAGTTAACCTCTCTTCTGATCTCTCACCCACATCTGTTTCAACTGATCCAGGGCCAACTGTTTGCATTCTGCTTTGTGTTTGTTGCTAACCCACCAGAGGGTGCGCTGACTGCTAAGTTCACTCGAACTTAGGAGACTCAGAGACACAAGAGAATGAAGCAGGGGCCTGGGGTCTGGAGTCCTAAGTCTGTTTAGTAGAACTGCCTGTGGGTATATGTAGGGTCTGTACTGCAGGAAAAAACAGGAAATGTGCCCAACAATGCAGGGAGCAGGGTGCATGTTTGTACTGGGCCTGGGGCTTCTTGTAGCTTCTACTTGAAACAAAGTAGTGGGCTGCAGCTATTTGCAGGACAAAGTGCACTGTGTTCTGCTGACTTGTTTGTTGGCCTTACTGGGGAGTGTGCTCACCCATGTACAACATCAGCCAGGGCAGACAGGTGCACTTGAGGTCCTGTGGAGTTAGCCACATATGTGGCTCCCTCAGGTTTCTTTCTGGCTCTCCACACTGCTTCTTTCTTCCTCAGGATGTTCTCCCTGCTCAGTTCCACCCTCCTTTGAGTGGGGCAAGAAACCTGGAATCTCCCCTTTTCCTGTGGGCCACCCTGTTACTATAGATATGTTCTAGGAGATGAGGACATGACTGTGAACAAGGCAAACCAGATCTGTGTTCTTAGAGAGCTTATATTTCTGGATTTTGGTGGAGGGGGGAAAGTCAACCAGCAAATGAAGAAAATAGCAGTCAGAAACCCAGCTGAAAAAAGTGTTCTGAAGAAAGTGAGTGTGGTAGGGAGTACCCGGGAAGCTAGTGAAGGCTTCTTTGAGGAAGCTGAATGATTAAAGGAGCCAGCAACATAGAGTGGCTGGGCAAGAACTTTCTAGGAACAGGGAACTGATCATGCAAGGGCTGAAGGATAGGAACTATGCCTCCAGTGGTTTTTAGGAATTGAAAGAAGTCAGATTGGCAAGGGCAGTGTGAGTCAAGGCAGAAGTTAGAGGTAAGAGGAGAATATAAATTCACAGCATGGGGCTAACTCCTAAAACTCATTCATAATCTTTTCTTGGTCTTGTGACTTTATAGCTCAATATATATGACATCCCTCACAGCAAATAAAATGTAGTGAATAAAACCACATTCATTTTTTTTTTTTTTCATAGCAATTCTGGGACTCAAATCAAATTTTATGAGCTCTGGCCCAGAGCAGTTACCACTTCTCATCCCCTTCTTATGCAATACTAGTTTCTGAATTCTTTATTAGACACCCTGAGAAGAAGTGTCTATCACAACAGATACATATTTTAACCATAGGAGAGGGAAAGTGTCATCTACTTATGACTGACAAGGTACAAGTTTTGCTGCACTAAGGTTCAGGGGTAGAGAGGTAGAAGGGAGGGTACCTTTTGGAGGAGAACTGGTGGAATGATTAAGGACTCATTTTCCTTTGCATGGGAGTCTTAGAACAACCCTTTGCTTTTACAACCCCATGATTTGATTATTTTACAAGAGAATCAATTTTATGTTATCTGGACTGTGTGGAATGTGTCATAAGATACCATGACATTTTAAAGCAAATATGAAATGTGGTAAATAAGATGGTATTTACAAACTGGCAGTATATTAGTTATTTCTGCACTTTGTCCCTCCATTAAGTTAACTGGCATGTCTGTGCCATTAAAATCCAGGCTTGTTCCCTCAATTACAGTCGTGCATTAACTCTGGACACTGGGAGGCTTTGTAATAACAGCCATTTTCAGGGAGGACTGGGAGCCTCCCCATTAGTGTCTTCCCTTTTCTCTGTTCCCATCCTAAAGACCCTCTGCCTCTAGCAACTTTGAGTTCTGAACATGCTTAATCTCACCTTCAGTTGAGAGCCCTGTTTATGATTCATTCCCAAAACCAGGCATTCGTTTAAATGAGTCCTAGTTAGAGAGACATGTTATACTTCTCTCCTTTCAGAGAGCAGCATTTGCTGCCTGCTGGGTGTTTCTGACTGATGCTGGAGAGCGAGGAAGGAGAGTTGGTTGGCTTTGGAAGCAGATTTAGAGTTGCTTCTCATTGGAGGGGCTCGCTTTTCCTGAGCTGCCAGACACTGCAGGCTCAACTGAGGCGCGGAGGTGCAATTCAGGCTGGTGGAGCAGCGGGGGGAAGGCAGGGCAGGCGGGGCTAGTGCAGCTCTGCAGCTGATTACTCGCACCAGCACATTTTCCACACTCCCGCCGCCTCGCATCTTCCACCCGGGGCCACCGAGCCGCGGGCAGGGACTGGGGGGCCGAGGAAGACATGGTAAAGTCAGGTGCACAGAAGCAGCGATAAAGCGAGAGCGGCGTAAGTATTTGACCTGAAAGTCTGACTGGCAGCCAGAGGATCGAACCCTTTACGGAGCACCGCGCCAAAAACAGTCAAGTCCCGCGCCCAAGTCAGTGCCGGGCGCCCCAGGATCCTCTTGGTGGGGCAGCGCCTTGCCCTGTGGAAGGTGCGGAGCTTGGGGGACCTGCACTGGCGCTCATCGTGGCCCACCAGGAAAAGTGGGGGCGAGGTAAACAGCGGTGAGCGCAGAGTGCGAGGCCAAACTGCCACTGCTTCCCGCTGTGCTTCCTCCCTCCAGCCCTCCGCCGCTGGGTGAGTGCTCGGGTGCCGCGCACCACCGTGTCTCAGTTGCGCGCGGGGGCGACTGGGGACCCTTAAGGGTCCTCCCCAAGGCCCCGGTGGTACCCGCGGAAACTGAGCGGCCAGCGGACACCAGGCGCGCACGTCTCTGGAGTCCGAAGCAGGGAACTCTGAACCCGGAGGGCGTGGGAAGGGGGTGTTGCACCAGTGCCCGGCAGATATGCCTTT